CATCCTTCACATTCTTGGTTAGACTTAAAAATAGAAAACACACAATAATAATCAAGACAATTAGCTTCAAGTTACAACATTTGCTCTTCTTTTTTTCCTTCGTCACGACTTGGTTACTTTCAACACGACTTTCTTAAGATGCCAATACTTCTTCCAACTCCTTAATTCTCTTTGCTAATCTCAGAATTACGTACTTGGATCGTATATCAACATCTTCACAATCCTTCCATCTAAAGAAGTTGCACGCATCCTCCTAAAATACGCAAAAAATAAATTAAAGAAAAATACATAAACAAAAGATCTCCATAAAAGAATTAGGAAACATACACGATAGCGTGGACAAGACCAAAATCTTCGAGCTGGATTATGCTCCCACCATGAAGTTTGCATTGATAGTAAGCCACCATGTTTGCATCGCAATTTCACTCGCAACATCGGATCATTCTCATCATTACAAATACGATGCAACATTGCATTTGACATTTTCAATCAAAACCTAATCACAAAATTCAGAAGAAACTAAACCATAGAAAACTTTAAATTAACGTTTTATACTGGAAATTAAAAGATAAAACGAATTCCTACCTTATTTTCTTGGAAAAGATGATGAAGTCGTCAAACAGAGAGAACCAACGTTGATCTTACTATGGAAAAAACCATGAAATCGAAAAATTAGGGCTACCAATGGCTATTTTGAGTTTAAAATGGGGAAGATGACATAAATTGAATAAATAATTAATAATAAAGAAAGAAAATGACACGTGGCACTTTTAAACTGGTCCATGACAGTGAAAACACTGAATGACGCGTTTCATGTGCGTGGTAACAACCCAGACGAGGGAATGGGTCAAAATGGCCCATTTACAACGATATTAAATAGTTCTGTGGGATGATAGGACACTTTGAAAGTTAAGGTGTCTTTATGCAAATACGGGACAACTTTAATTGTATCTTTATGTCTTTAAAAAAATAACCTGTCATGTATCCTTGATCATTGTATTGAAATAAAAGTCTCAAATAGGATGCTAATACCTATTAGTTCATTATAAAATGACAATTAATTTGTGACTTGGATATCTTTTGTAAGCATATTTATCATATTTGACACGTGTCACGTTGTAAGGAAGCTAATCAATGCTTGTATTTCTTTTAGGTACAATTATGCATAATTTCTTTTTGTCTTCTTCACTCTGATCTATCTATTTCTTATAATGAAATTGTTGAAATACGTATTACATGTGATTAGTTGAGTTAGTTAGCTTATTGTTGGATTAGTTAGCTGATTGATGTATTAGTTTACAAAGTAGTTAGTTAGCTTATTTATGATGCACAGTGTATAAATAGCACTTGGTGACTAATGAGAAGTTAAGTCGGTCATTTCAATTCACTGTTCTATTCATTCTCTTCTTCCTCTTCTTCCTCTCAAGTGCATCAGCTCTATCTCAGCTAGGAGAATAACTTTTAACATGGAATCAGAGCTTGGGACGATGGAGTTCTAGCTGGTGATTCGAGTTGTTTGCGAAATAGATCTTTTCTGCACACCTGAGATTTGGAAGAACAGTTGAACACACCGACCTCATTTTTCTTCACTTTGATCAGAGATCTACTTCATTTTTCCTTCTTTTTCGATCAGAGATCTGCAAATTATGGTGAATGCAACTGATTCATCTGAAGCTTCAAGTCGGGAGAGGATTGTATCAGATCCAGTTCAGATTAAGAAATTCACCAGCATTCATCCTCGTAATCCTCTGTATCTACATCCGTCTGACACTCCATGTAGCATTTTAATCCCTCAACAGCTTATTGGCATAGAAAATTACACTGGCTGGAGTAATTCCATGAAAGTTGCACTGTTAGCAAAAAACAAAATTGGTTTTATTGATGGAACTTGTTGTAAAGCTCATTATAGAGGTGATTTAGCCCATGAATGGGAGAGATGTAATGCCTTTGTATTATCATGGATTTCCAATTCAGTTTCGAAGGAACTCGCTAATGGACTAATGTTTTCTTCTGATACGTATAATGTTTGGAAGGATTTAAGGGAGAGATTTGATAAGCGAAATCTGACTAGGATCTATCAGATTCATCGCGAAATTAGCACAATGAGTCAGGGAATTTCCACTATTTCTTAGTACTATTCTAAGTTGAGAAATCTCTGGGATGAGTATGTGTCTTTAGTGCCTTTACCAGCCTGTGATTGTGACAAATACAAGGTGTATGCAGAACATATGGAGCGGCAGAAACTTATGCAGTTTTTAATGGGTTTAAATGATAATTTTGCTCAATCGCGAAGTCAAATACTCTTGACTGTTCCTAGTCCCAGTCTCAATCAGGCATACAGCATGATTATGCAAGATGAGAATCAAAGAGTTCAATCTAGTTTGATTTCTAATTGTGTGTTGCCCTTACAGAAAATGGTTGTTACTGTTCCAACAGCATTAGCCTCTTCACACACAAATAGGTTCAGTCAGACTTTAGGATTATATTGTGATCATTTTCACTTACGCAATCACACTAGGGCCAACTGCTATAGATTGATTGGCTACCCTTCAAATTTTAAGTTCATAAAGAAGAAAGGTGTTGATGATAAAAATGGTAAGGGTCAGTCAGCTGGAACTGATAGATCACAATTTTTTGGTAATAGAAGGCCTCAAGCCCATAATGTGAATCATGATCCTCAGGATAACATTGAACCACTACCTCTTGCTCCTGGTCAAACAGTGCCCTATTTTACTCCTGATCAATACAACAATTTGTTGAAATTGCTTGACAAAGATTCTGTACCTAAGGAGGCCTTTGCTAACATGGCAGGTATTGTTTCTCCACTTCATTTCACTTGCAACACCACTCACACTTGTTCTGCTGTAGGTAATGAAACAGTTCCCTGGATTGTTGACACTGGGGCCACACATCATATGGTTTCTAGCTTGGATACTCTACTTAATCCTCTTCCTGCTCACTCCTCTTTTAATAGTATCTCTTTACCTAATGGCCAAACTACCTCAGTCACTCACACTGGTTCAGCTCATTTTCTAGACAATAATGACATCCACAATGCCCTTTATGTCCCTCAATTTACATATAACCTCTTATCTGTTTCTAAACTTACTAAAGAGCTCAACTGTTGTGTCTCTTTTTATCCTCATTTTTGTCTTTTTCAGGACCTTTGCACTGGCAAGGTGAAGGGGATTGGTAAGGAAGAAGCAGGCCTATACATACTTTCTTCCACTACCAAGCATCCACCTCTTGCCAATGCACTTCATCACACTTCCAGTCCTGCTGTTTCATTCAATTCAACCTGTTCAAATCACCATCCTTCAGATCTCACTACTTGGCATTTAAGGCTTGGTCATGCCCCTGTTGTCCTTCACAAGATTGAATCTATCAAATCAACTCTCCAACACCAAGTTTTTCATCTTTGTCATGTATGCCCTCTAGCAAGGCAATCTAGATTTCCCTTTCCTACTAGCACTAAAAAGACTGCATTTCCTTTTGAACTTATTCACGTGGATGTTTGGGGACCCTATAAGCAATGCACTTATAATGGTCATAGATTTTTCCTTACTATTGTTGATGACTATTCTAGAATGACATGGGTTTTTCTTTTGAGATATAAAAGTGAAGTTGTCAATTTTATTTCAGCCTTTATTAATCTTGTCAAAACTCAATTTTCTGCTACTATCAAAACCATTCGATCAGATAATGGTCTTGAGTTTTTTAACAATCAATGCCACACCATTTTTTCTTCTCTTGGTATTGTGCACCAAAGCACTTGTGTGCACATTCCACAACAGAATGGCATTGCTGAACGAAAGCACAAACATCTTCTTGAGATAGCCAGGGCACTTCGATTTCAAGCTCATGTGCTCTTGAAATTCTGGGGTGACTGTATTCTTACTGCCACTTTTTTGATAAACAGACTTCCCTCCACTATTCTAGCAATCAAGTCTCCTTATGAAATTTTTCACAAACATCCTCCTAAACTGCATCATCTCAGGGTCTTTGGGTGCTTATGTTATGCCACCACACCTCTTATCACTGACAAATTTTCTCCTAAAGCTATTCCCTCAATTTTCAT